ACACACACACACACACACACACGGTTCCCTGGGGGCCTGCGAGGACGGGAGTGTGGGGTGGAGGGTCACACGCGTGTACACACACACTCTCTCTCTCTCACACTCATGCATGGTTCCCTGGGGGCCTGTGAGGACGGGAATGTGGGGTGGAGGGTCACACGTGAGTACACCCAACACATACAACATACACACACACACACACACTCATGCATGGTTCCCTGTGAGGGCGGGAGCGTGGGGGCCCAGGATCACATGTTTGTCAGGGGCACCTGTGAAGAATGGGTGTGAGCAGGGCTGAAGACCACACATGTAAGACACACCGCACACATACATGTGTTCATTCACACATATGTACACACCTAGCACACTCAGACCCACCATCACATACACACTCATAAAGCAGTGCACATGATTTCACACACAGGCGTGAATGCTCACATTCCTGTACACTCACCCGAGGGCATGCACAGCCACAGCTGCGCACTCCACACAGCCAGAAATGTGAGCATTCATGCATATACACGCACACCTACGTGAAAATATACACACCAGGGTGGCCACACTCACCATCACCACTCTTACACATGCCCACACATGCTCTCTCACACACACACATTTAAGTGCACACACACTTTCACATACACACATGCACCCACACTCACATGCCACCGGTGACAGGCCCACTGATAAAGCCAGCCTGTACACACGCAGAATTCAGAACAACACCCCTCACTAAGCGCTCAGGTTTACATGCCCTGCACACCAGGCAACAGCTCCAGTGCCCAGGGCCAAGGCCCGCGCCTGAGACCAGCTCATATCCATGGGCAAAGGCCTGAGAAAATTGCTGTGGCCTGGGGTCCTCCCACAGCAGAGGGGGTGGGCATGCTGGTGCCCTGCTTCGCATGAACTCTGCTCTGCATGGACCCAAGGTCCAGTCCTCTTTGACCAGAGGTATTAACACCCACATCAGAAATGAATTCCCCTGCTCCCTGGTGCAGGCCAGAGCCCCCACTGTCACTGACCTCTGCACTCCGTGCCACCGGCCAGGACCTGAGCTGCTCACTGCTCCTCACGGAGGAAGCGAGGAGACAGCAGGGCACCCATGGGCCCAGGCAGGGTGAGGCTGCCCTCAAAGAGGACCTGGCCTTCTGAGGGCTGCGTCTCAGCTCGGGTCCTGGCAAGGCTGACAGAGGCCGCACGGCACAGGGAGCGAGGCCTGGGCCGGGGCTGAGTGACCACAGAAGCCCACGGCCGCGGTTCTAGTGCACCAGCTGCTCCTTGGGATAAAGGTGGGCCATCTCCTCCCGTGTGACCGGAGCCGCTGCCAACCTGCTCGAGAAGGACGCGTCTCCTACCTCAGAGTTGTTTCCAATCGTCACTTGAACATCTTGCGCCTCTTCTTCAGGGCCCTCAGGTGCATGCTGTCCTAGGTGATGGGACCTAAGAAGGAAGGGATGGTGTCAGAGGGGCGCACGGTCCTTCCGGAGGCATGGGGGCTGCCACCCCGGGGAGGATGGAAGCCGCAGGAGCAGGCAAGGTCTGATCTGTCGTGTATGGGGTCGCTAAGGTTCAGGGCCCACAAGCTGTCACTGGGATAGGACAGTGGCCCACACAGCGTCTTACATCACTGCTCCTGCTTCCATCCCTAACACCCGGATGCTGACCCTGGATGTAAAGTGGCTTATTCTGAACCTGTCATTTCACCTCCCTGCTATTGTAGGTAAGGGTGCACAGGAGCCCTGGTGGTGCAGTGTCCCCAAAAGGCTGGTGGTGTGAAGCCACCAGCCACTCTGATGGAGGAAGATGTGGAGTTCTGCTTCTGTGAAGACAACAGTCTGGGGAGCCCCGGGGGCCGTGTTACCCCGTCCTGCAGGACTGCAGGGGTCAGGCCCACCTGGCGGCAGGGGTCTGTACACACAAACTCCACTGGCAAAGGTCTCCTTGGTGCGTCATGAGGAAAGCTGGCTGCTGGCTCTGCGGCGGTCCATGCAGGCCAGGAAGGGACCAGGGAGACCTGGGGACACTGGGTACCCTTAATGGGGGGACGCAAACCCGGACATGACACTGGGGACTGAGCAGAGCCCCTAGAGAGGACAGACGAGACGCCCCGCTCCCTGGCTGGGGTTAAGAGTGGAGGTGTCCTCTCTGGATCACTAACCTGGCCCACAAGAACAGGTCTGAAGGCCCCAGATGCAGAGGGCTCTTCCAGAACGGGCAGGGCCACCCAGCTCAGGTCCCTGAGGGTCCAGGGCCTGCTGCGTCCTCTGAAACATGAACCCAAAGCACGCTGCATGAAAGAGCTCAGAGAGGAACAGGAAGTGACGGGCCAGGCAAGTGAAGTCACGGCTGGTTCCCCAAACCTGATCGATGCCCAGCAACCGAGAGGGGTATCCTGACAGCCGCCTCATTATCAGAAACGCCCACGGCCAGAAACAGCGCTTTACCAGTAAGAACAGACGAAAGCAGTGCAGAAATCCCCCGAATATGAGCAGTGAGCGGCAGAAAGACCTCCAGGAAACAAAAACTAAAGCACAACTGAGCCAGGGGCCTGGCCCAGGGCGCTGGGAGGAACCCGTCCAGAGCTGGCCCAGAGCAGATGGTCAGCGTGTAAAGGATTCTGGACAACGCAGGCACCCCTCCTGAGCCCTAAGTATGAGGCTCCGACACTGGAGACACATTTACCAGGCGGCATGCTGTTCACTCAGCGTCCACTGTGTCCAGTCACTGCTGGGATACCCAGACGCGCGGGGGGCACAAAGGTTAAATGCCCACCTGCTAAGCGGATGGCAGTGCTTAGAGGCTCCCCAGCAGCTCTGACGGGGAGCCCTAACCCAAAGGCTGCATGTCTCTGGCCGTGAAGACACCAGCATCTCCACGGGAGCACAATGGACAGTGTCTTCTCGCTCAGTGTGCAGCCCTGGAGACCAGCTGGAGGTCAGCTCCGGGTCAGTGCTGGCTCCACAGCAGGGAGCTGGAGGCCTTGAGGGGAGCCGCTCCAGGGGAGAAAACCCGGCAACGTGCTTCCTGCCGCAGAGCTCACAGCCTGGAAGCCCTCTGGGGCGATCGGCGCTGGCGTACAGCCCCGCTGTGCAGTGGCACCCAACCCCACAGTGAAAAGGAAACGGCCAGCCTGCTCCCCGGGATTCCCTGGGGAGAAAAGAGTCTGTCATCTCCTTCAACCCTAATGGACACGTCTTAAACCCCGCGTGATGAGAAGTCTTTAACGGCAAATGGCAAACGACTTCCTTTCCGTCAGTATGAATAGGCCCCCTGTATGTACTGTGGGCAGAGTTCTCCCTGGGCTGGGACGGCGTGCTTGGTAAGCAGGGACTTACTGGTTCATCTACGGTGAGTGTTTCCACTGGGTCTCATCCCATCACCGTCCACCACAGCTGCAGGGTTCAAGCAGAGCGTCAGGAAACGCAGAAGCTGCCCCGGCTGCATTTTCAGCCTTGCCATGGTGCAGACACACCTCCTTAACAGCCTCCTGTGCTCTTTGGAGCTTTTCAACACTGACAGAGCAGCCATGACTCTGCTTGGAGAATCACTCCCGGGCATACCTACCCCTTTTCAGGAAGTGTCATTAATGTCAACAAGACTCTGTTGTTGTTAGATGCCATCGAGTCAAACTGTACTCAGAGTGACCCTGTGAACGAGTGTGAACTCTGCCCTCTCACCATCCTGCTAGGCGCCAGTCCATCTTCTCGAGGGGCTGTCTTTCTCACAAGCCTTTAGAATTTGAAAAATTCTTTAGCACAAGAAAGTTTATTAGGATAGAATCCACTCCAAACAAGCCCTAGTTTGACATCTCCTGCTGGATCAAAGAAAAATCTTCTTTTCTGACTTTCACAGACCAGTTTGTATTAAGAATAAAAAACCCCAACTAAACCCCAAAACACTTTTCTGAAGTTGTCATCTTTGTTTAAACCTCTAGTTGCCATCGCTAGTGTGTCATCTGGGGTATCATTAAAGACCTTCCTGGCCAGGTGTCGCCTCCTAACACGAAGACTTTGTAAACCATCAGCTAGAGTGGACAGGTTTAACAATCCGGGGAGAGGGGAAACCAGAACTCCTTTTTTATGTTCCATGCTTGGAAAATGACATCACTCTGGGACCAGTGGATGGCCAGAGAAAGAGAGATCTGTAACTACAGATATTAA